TGCCGAATCATGAACTCTGTACATGTACAGAGGCTATACCCCTGAGTGAGTTTACACCCCCCAGTTTACGCTTCATGAAGAAGTACCTTCTTTTCTCTGTCCTGACTCTTCCAACATTTTATTTCATTGGATGGTCACAAGTTCCAATGTTATGGGCGTGGGGGACTTTTTCTGTCCACTTTCTCCCTGCCATGTATAATTTTATAAACTTCTATCAGGCTGCCTATTACTCACTTTTTCTCTAAATGAGAAAGTCTCAGATGCTGGAACCTTCCTTCTTAAGGGAGTCATTCCATCCCCTTGATCATTCCGCTTAACCTTTTCTGCCCCTTTCCCCTCTACAATTCTATGGTTCTATGGTTCCATAGGAGCAACAGCAGGAGCACTCCTGGTTCAGTATGTTCCACCATGGCTATGGAAGCAGCTTTGCATGTGAGGGAGAAAGGATATTTGTTTTGTCCCTGGACTGGCACAGATGCCCAAAGCTGCTTGCTGTGGCATCAGCCATCCAAACCTGGGGGCGTCCATCTACTCCTCATTGGACCATATTGGCAAAGGTGTCAAGCAGGGCGTGGGGGGGGGGGAGTCGTGAAGCTAACTCTGGCTTCCCTTCTTGCTTCACTAATGAATATTCATGACTGAGGCAATCTGTACTAGCCAGACTCTCTCCTCGCCCTTCCCTCTCACCCTCCCCCTGACGTGAAGTATTAGTTCTGTGTGATGCTATATTTAATGTAGATCTGTTTTAGCAAATTGACTTTAAATGTGTATTGAGAGTGAGAGAGAGAGAGAGAAAGCTCAAGGAGAGAGGCAGAAGGCTGTGTAAGGTAGCACATGCAAAAGCCATGTGGGGTGGGGGTGGGGGCAGGAAAAACAGCTCCCCCTTCTCAATAGTGTCCCTGTTATCTCGCAGCAGGGCGGGTGGAGAAGGCAACTCAGAACAGGAAAGTATTGCACATGGCACCGCTTTGCAAGGGAGACCAGCTCAGACAGGAAAGAAGCATTCTCACAAAAACACCTGCCCCCCACCCCAGTTTACAATGGCAGAAAGACCCCTTTGAAAATCAAACAAACAGCTCACATTCGAAATCCCTTAGGAGTCTAAATTCTAACTTCAAACGTGTCGAAATCTCTTTGTCTCTCAAGGAAGGTTTGTTCTGCTGTCTGAAGAAGTAGTGGGTTCAATTCCAGGGCGAAGTAAATTCTGCAAGGGGTTTGCTGCAGTGGGTCATCACACACAATCATACAATGGTACAGTTGGAAGGGATCATGAGGACATCTAGTCCAACCTGGGCTAAACATACCCAACTCCCTCAACAGTTCCTCATAAGGCTTGGTTTCCAGTCCCATGCTCATCTTCCTCTGCACATTTTCCAGCTTGTTGACATCCTTCTTAAACTGTGGTGCCCAGAACTGGACGTCAGATGGGGTCTGCCCAAGGGGAAAATAGAGTGGAACTGTTTATTCTCCTCCATGAACTTGTCCAATCCTCTTTTAAAGTCATCCGGTCTGATGATCAGCACTGCCTCCTGCGGGACAGAGTTCCAGAGTTTAACTGTGCACTGCTAGTGGATCTCCTCCCATTCCCTCTCTGGTGAATGGCTGGCAGAGCCTATCAAAGGCTGTGCTTCTGATCTGTGTCCACCCAGGTTCCTTTCACCAGTCCACCAAGGGAGCAGTTCAGGAAACTGAGCCAATGGCATGAGATGGAGACCTGAGGAAATGGCTCTAGGCCTGCTGAATGGTGCCATGTCCCAAGTGACACCCCCTGAGTGACACCCCCTCTGTTGCTGCCTGGGGCTGGGCCAGGCGGCCACCCAGACTTTGGTGGGCAGCCTGCTGCATTCCCCGCTGGCAGGCTGGCTGCCTCCACCAGTTTGCCAGGCAGGCGCTGCCAGACACCCACTCTGCTCCTTCTCTTCTCCTGCTGCTCTATGACAAGCTGCTCAAAGCCCCATGGAGAGGAAACACTCCTCATTTACAAATATGCAAATGGTTTTTTTCTCTTTTCTGTTATGCAAATGGAAGAAATCATAGGCTGCTAATTAGGGTCAAAGGAATGGTGCATGCAAATTAGAGAAAATGATCTCTCCCCCCCTCCTCCCCATTCTTGGAGGACTGCTGGCCTCTTGGGTCTCCCTTCTACAATGCAGCTCTAGCTGTTTCCTAGGAGGGCATACCTGTCTGTGGGCCTCCCTGATGTCTGGATCCAAGGGGCCAGGACCTTTCTAACCCTGGTTCACAAAGTGAGCAATCAGCAGCCCACAAGCAGGGGAAGCCCCTCCCTCTCTCGCTTGCTGCTCACCAGTAAACTGCTTCTTGCGAGGAGGGGTGTTTCTCATCCGTGCCCCCTGCCTCAGGTGCATGTTTTGCCAATAAAAGGCAGCCAAACCTCCCCCCACCATGAAGTTCAGAGCAACCAGAGAGCAAATGGAGCTCTTTTTTTGCCAGAGGTTCCCCGTATACTTTCCAATCAATATATCTGTCAAAAAGGGCAGCCCTCAATATGTGGAATTTGACGATTCTGCAAAAATATCTATGATCCAATTAAATCACAGTATTAAAAAGATACTTTCTATTCCACAGGTATCGAGCCTTTTTTGACTGTACAGCAAAAGCATGACTGTTTGTAACATCGCCACAAGACATGCTCTCCTGTAGAACCAGGAACCAGGTGGTATTTTCCATTTCATGAGCTGAGCTGTCTCCTCAAGGAGGCTTCCTCTGGGAAACCTCAAGACGCGACAAAGAGTGGTATTGGGACTTTCCTTTCCTGCTTTTGTTTTGATGCCTCTGTTTTCCCTTATGTTAATCTACTGCCTACCTGGGAGGGGTCAGTGGAGGTGATGTTCCCCCGCCCTGGAGGAATGGGGCCAACATGGAGGAACTGCCAGTCTGTGGGTCCAGTTGGGCTTGCTAGGCCTTCCCCCTTTGGCCAGCCACACACAATCCAGGGGCTCTTGTGGTTCTTGAAGTGCAGGGGTGGACTAGATGACCCCTGGGGTGCCTTCCGACTCTACAATTCTATTATCCCTGCTCTCGTCCTCCCTTTGCAGATCCCTCTTCTCCCCAGCCGTCCGTGCCCCCCGCAGTCAACATCTTGCTGCTTTAGAAGAAACATAGCATGCCACTGAATTCGCTCTTGCCAATTTCAAAAAATAAACAGATGACAGGCTTTCTGTATAAATAAATATTCCTTTACGATAAGCACAGTGTTAAAAGTAGGGGGCAATAAACTTCCAGGAGCCCCTTCTCCTGCTGGCATCTGCTCTGAGAGACAGACAATGGCTTCAATACAAAGGAAGGTTTTGGCAATTTTAGTTGGTGGGGCAGCTTAATTTACGATGGCATGTGTCCCCTAATAATAAATTGATTCAAAATGTAAACATAGCAGGAATATTTGAGGTCAGCAGCACCCACTGGGCTCATCCAGGCACCCTTTTATATTGTATTTCTAGGCACAGGTCCACACTTTAAAGCTCCATGTTCCTGTGCTTTTGTGTTTTTTTGTGTGTGTGTGTTTTGCCCCAGTGCTTTCCCATGAAAACCTACTCTTTACCACTGAATCGGAGCAAAAAAGCAAGCCAAGGAAAACCAGAATTTCCATTTGTTCTGATTCAGTGTCAAAGAGTGGGTTTTCCTGGAGAAAGTGGTGGGGCAAACAACAACAACAGGCTTGAAAGAGTGAACCTGTGCCTGGAAAGCACAGAGCAAATTTTAAGTGTGGATGAACCCACTCTTAGCTCTGCCAATATTTTCAAATAAAAACTGCCCAGGCTCTCTTACATTAGTTACGTTGCAGCTGGGGAAACCCCTCTCCCAAGTTATGGGCTCTTCTCCAATGAGATCTGGCCTCTCTCAAATTCCCAGGCTGTGCAAGAGAGGGAGGGGACAAATAAACAGAGAAGGGGCTCCCTCGGGTGCCTGTCCCCCTCCCCACTTTTTTGACCTTGTCTGCTAAAAGGTTCTGTGAGGGGCAGACCCCTGTATCTCTTTCCCTAGAGAAGCCAGAATGACTCCCTCTTTGTTATCCTTCTGCCCACAGGTGAGGACTGCTTTATTCTGACACACCTTTGGGAACTGATTTTCTTTTCTTTTAAGGAAAGAGCATTTAATAGTTCTGTGTTGTTTTTATTATCTGTTTTCTAATATACTAGGTTTTTTATTGTTTTGATTTTACTAGAGTTTAATTCCTTTTTAATGCTGATCTTTTCTATGTTTTTAGCTTTTTTTGTATTTTATTTATGTTGTTTTTAATTTGCGCAAGCCACCTCTAGTCTCTGGGGCTCTCCTTTTCCTTTCTCATCCTGCCCATGAAAGACGGAACGGGGAAGATCTCTGCTCCAAGGTGACACAGAGGGCAACCCAAACATCAGGGAAGCCAGCTTCCTCCTCGCCCAATTGCATGGCTGCCTGTAAGCCACTCCTGGCTTCTCCATTTCTGAGAGGAGAAGGGATATGTGTTGCTGTGTGACCACCATTACAGAGTCTCCTCCGCCTCCTCCTCCTCCTCCTCCCTGGAGACAAGGAGCAAGAAGGCCCGAGTAGGTTCTGGTTCTTTCCCCAACAGGCTGCCCTTTGACCTCTCGCCATTGAGGAGGGATCTCCCCTTTGTGGCAGTGCAACAGCTGGTTCATTTCACATGCTAGGCGAGGGGAGGAGGCGTTGGGATGGCAAGCAGCTTGGAGGTGGGCCGATTCCATAAAGTCTGCCCCCCTCGGGAGGAAGGACGATGATCAGCCTTTCATGAGCAAATCATGGCATTAAGGATTCCAGGCACAACCCCTGTCCTGCCTACGGAGTGGTGAGAGGTCTCTCTGTGTGTATTTGTGTGCTTACAGATGGGCAAAGAGCAGCAGGGCTTGAAGAGGGGGTCTCTCTGGGTCTCTCTTGTCTGGTTACCTCCAATGAATCATGGAATTGTATAGCTGAAAGGGACCACGAGGGCCATCGAGTCCAACACTCTGCAACACAGGAATAACAGCTAAAGAATCCCTGATGGATAGCCACCAAAACTTCTGTTTAAAGACCTCCAGGGAAGGTTAGTCCACCATCTTCTGAGGAAGTTCTATCAACATTTGAGGTCTTGTTTCAAGACTTTGGAGCTGTGGGGCTCTAGCACATTTTTTGTTTGGAATCTGTAACTCAAAGGGCTACCTTGGAGGTGGCTTCTTCTCCCTGCAGTGGATGAGAATTTGTCAGGGCTGGTAGTTCCACAGGTGTAGGTGGGCACTACCCAACAAGGTGTCCAAACCAAGAAGACAGTGCTACTAGAAGGCTACTGGATCCACAGGACACCTGTCCTGAGAGCTGTAGTACCCCCTCCAGCCACCTGCTGTGGTGGTGCTGCAGAGCCCCAGAGATCAGGCCTGAAAGGGACCCCAGGCTCTTCTCCCTCCTCAGTGAATTTTTCTGAGTGGCTGTCCTCCCACCCCCAAGGTTTAGCTAGTCCCTGGTTGAAGGGTTAAGAAGTGGATGCTGAGAGAGAAGGCCTTTGGGTGGGGGTGGGAGGCCCCCAAATTTTGGAAGGGGGGGGGGCTCCAGGCAAAGACCTTTTAATTTTTATCCCAGGCTTTTAAAAAGTGGTTGTAAAAAGTATTCAACGGTCTGAATTAATTCACAATAATTGCATCTTAATCTTTGCATCTGTGATTTGAACGTGTGTGTTAGCTCTACTTGATGTTTTATGACTCTCTGTGCTATATTATTAGACTGTGGCTTAAGTTGGATGAACTCTGCCCTGAGATGGCTGTTCGTAGGATTGTTATGCTGTTTATTGAAGCTCAATGGATTTGTGACTATAATTTGTTTTTTCAACTTTTAATCGCCCAGATAACTTTCTTGATGGGACATCTGACAAGTGCAAATATGTAAAGAAATATATGTCTCACCTATCTCCCAAGGAGTTTGGGGCAGCCTGCCTGGCTCATCTTCTTCCCTGTTTTCTCTTCACAGGTGAGGCAGGTGAATCTGAGAGAGAGAAGAAGAAAGAAAGAAAGAAAGAAGAAAGAAAGAAAGAAAGAAAGAAAGAAAGAAAGAAAGAAAGAAAGAAAGAAAGGCAGAGACAGAGATAGAGAGAAGCCCTCAAAAGGGACAAACATGCCTAATTTTTTTTATAAAATTCTGTCCATTAAAAAAACCACACAAATGGTAAGAGCACTCAGCACTAAATCTCCTGGACCTCTATGCCTGCAACTTGACAGAGGTTAACCAGTATGATGGGGCTACCTTGTGAATGCCAATTTTATTCACATCTGCTAAAATGCAGAGCCCGGGGGGGGGGGAGTTAATAGATTTTTAAAATTCCCAATAGCTAATGTGGGTGGGTAGATATAACAAAGCCAGCTCAGATGCATCTCATCCCATCAAGCAGCCTATGAATTGCCTTGGAGTGAGATGGGCTGTTTTCTGAAGCACTGAATTGGAGTCTGGATATAAAAGATGAAGAGGGATTTGTGTTGTGTACATTGAGGCAAAGGCCAGCTGTGTCCCTGAGCTCTGCCCTTTCTGGTAGCAGAGAGAACTTTGCAGCTGGAAAGGCCAGCTAAGATTAGCAGCACTGCCTGGGTGAAGAGACTTTGGTTCTACCCCTACGTCTTTTTCAAAGGATGAGACTAGGCGGTTGTTGTGGCCTGCCCTCTTTTCCCCAAAAATGGTTGTATGCTGGTTTAGATCTCGACTCTCAGCAAGCCTGGCCCAAGTGTATGTTAGGTAAGCTGCTTTGTTAAATAACATTATCTGATTTTTAGTGGTGCGTCTGATGGAAAACAACATGGTAATTTTGGGATGCTGCTGATTAGATGAAAATGATATTGCATCAAAGTTGCTGCTGATTTATTATGGAAAAACGGCAAGCGGAGCGCAATTCTCCACTAGGATGCTTAATTAAAGCTCCCTCCATAAAAAAACCCCTGTATCCTCCAAGGCCCTGTATCTTTGCCGGGTGTGAAAAGAACAAAGGGTGATGGGTATCTTCTTTGTCAAAGTGCCACGCGACATGTTTATTGCAGCCCATTCTGAACCCCTCAGTGCAAAAGCAGCTGCCCCATCACACACCCTCAGGGCTGTCCAGAGTGGACCAAGAGGACCTGGCAGCTGCGCTGAGGGCATTTAGAGGGGGATGATGACGGGCTGCATGCCTTTATTGGTTCAAATGAGGAGATCCGGGAGGAGACTTGTCTGGGAAGAATAGGAAGCTGATGGGGGCCAGCATTTTTGTCAAGGGTTGTTGAACCATCACCTTGGGGTGTGTCACTCTCATCACCCGCTCCCAAAGAAGCTGAGTCTCTTAGCAATAATTCATCTGAAACAGAAAAACAGGAGAATTTGAAATGTCCCTGTGTGGCGAAGAAGGGGATTCTGAGAATCTGCAAGAAGGGCTCCTTAAAAGCTACCCTGGGCGAGCAGAGAAGTTGCCTCCAGCTTGCAGGACTTACTGAGATGATGGCAAGACTGGTGATTTGGCACAGTGGCATAGTTGGCTGTCCACTTGAATATTACCATTGAAGACAACCTCCCATTTTTATACAAAAAGTGTGTGTGTGTATGCTTATATTGTGCGCTACTCAAATACAATAGCTTGCTTGGACTGTGCTGCAGCTGCAACCCTGCCCTCCTTGGTGAGTACTTTGGAGAAGGCTTGCGTCTTCTGTATCTGGGATACCCCCTGTAGCTCCTGAGGGCATTCCCTAGATGGAATGCAACAGAGACCACTATCTCTACCACTCTGAAATTTGGCAGGCTTCATCCCCTATAATTGTTTGTGATTTGCATCCAACTCAGCCAGAAAATGAAAAAGTTTTGGATTTCCCCTTTGTTTTTAAAAATAAAACTTTATAAGGCACTCCACATGAAAATCTCTAGATCTATCTCCTTTCAGCCTTAATCCACCCCAAAGGGGCTGAGATACCTGCTGATATCATCCACTTCTGTGAAAAAGAGGAAAAACCACGTTATAGCTGTTTTTTATTTCCTCATTGTAGTGAATGGGAGGGCGAGAGATTCGTTTTTAACAGATCTAATTCAGTCCTGAATAACGAGTCAAATTGGAATGACACAGAGCAGTCATGAAACAGACTGGGCTGCTTTCCAAAGGTACAGGTACAAGTTGGATCTTGTGGCTGATGCACACACCTCTGCTGTGCACCTTGGGATGCATATCTTAGCTACCATCTGCAAGCTGATAACTAGTTCTCAGTCAGTCTCCAACACTATATTCTCAAACAGCACAATCCCGTACACATTTATGTAGAAATCCATCCTATGTGGCCAACTCACAGGGAAAGCCTAATTAAGATAATAACGGTTGCAATCCTTTGGTCCCTGGGAGGATGTCCCAGTGGCCATATCACATACTGGATCTCCCTCTCCAGTGTTGGAGAGAGAGCACTCTGGTGTTGCTACACATTTGAATCAAGTTAGGCACGGCTTGGACAAGGTATATATGTACGAGGTATGCTCTTCCTTTAATGCTTCTAGTCAGGCTTCTAAGTACAAATGCTGTTATCTCTCCATTATAAATTGCCTTTACATTATTGCAATGTCGTCCTCAAATGCTGTATCATTAATGCAATGTCGTCCACACTTTAATGCCCTCAGTGTAATATGAATCAGTTATGAGTAGGTCTAGTTACAGGTAGGTAGCCGTGTTGGTCTGCCGTAGTCGAAACAAAATAAAAAAATTCCTTCCAGTAGCACCTTGGAGACCAACTAAGTTTGCTATTGGTATCAGCTTTCATGTGCATGGTATCTGAAGAAGTATGCATGCACACGAAAGCTCATACCAATAACAAACTTAGTTGGTCTCTAAGGTGCTCCTGGAAGGAATTTTTTTTAGTTATGAATAGGGTGAGTGAAGACTGTATACTGAGCTCAGAGAAGGACAACTCCGCTGAAAGAAGCCACAGACCGTGTTCATCTCATCACAAAATTTGGAATTCCATCAATGCAAAACTGGGCAAAGATGCAGGTCAAAGTCTCAGACACCTAATCTCCTCAAAACCATAAGGAACAGCACTCAGCCTTTCAGTTCCTTGAAACTGGCATTCAGAAGCATCACTGCCTTGTTCTACATACTGCTGTCCCCAAACATGAGGCAGGAACCATTGGGAGAGGGGCTGTCCTTGCACAGAGGTTGACTGATGGGTGTGCATGCTCTACTGGGAGAGCAGGAGGGGGCAGGCATGCTGAGGCTCACAGACACCTAAGCGGTCTGGAGGTGCCACCTGGTCAGGGAAAGTGAGCCTGGCTGGATCAAGATTCAGGACAGATAAAAGAAAGTCCTTCTTCATGCGGTGCATTGTTCAACTAGGGAACTCACACCCACAGGAGGCAGTGATGGCCAACAACAAAAGAGGATTGGGCAGATTCATGGAGGAGAGGGCTATCAATTGTTACTAGTCGAGATGGCTGTGCTCTGCCTCCATAGTCAGAGGCAGCAGTTGCCCTGAACACCAGTTGCTGGAAACCACAGGAGGGGAGAGGGCTCTTGTGCTCAGGTCCTGCTTGGAGGTTTCCCATCATGGGCATGTGGTAGACCACTGTGAGAAGAGGGTGCTGGACTAGATGGACCCCCTTTGGCCTGATCCAGCAGGCTCTTCTGATGGACTTGAGTTAAGGCTACCCTCACTTTGTTCCAGAAAACTCGCCTACTTGCTGGATTGCTTTGCTTCAGGCAGGAGAAGGAACTTCACAACTTACTGTGGGATTCAGATCTGGGGAGGGGGGGGAGAATGATATTTCCTTTATTTTGCATGCCATATTTTCTATCTTTTGTTTTTCACTGTGTGTGGAGAGAACAGTTGAAAGGGCAAGCAGGCTACCATATTTGAGGCTCCCCATGGAATTTATTTTCTGTTGTTGTTGGATTAATCCAAATTTGCTTGCAGCTTTTTTGCTTCTGCCTCAAAAGATAGGTGGCCATCGAGGGAGGTTTGTGTGCCCAAAGCCCAGTCGTCCCCCCCGCAGCAGTAGCTTGTGCTCCCCCCTCCCCCCAGTTCCAATGACGCGGTGATCAAAGCATCAACATTCACACAACGCAACCCGGCTCCCTTTTTTAGACCAAACGAAAATACACACACCAGACACTTCGCTCGAGTGTGACTGCATGTTCTTATCACTTTGCTTAACAGGAAAGCTCTTGCAAGGGGAGGGGGGTATGAAGAACAGCTGAGGCGGCAGCAGGGCCCTTCAGAGCCATGGGGAGGGGGAGCAGAGGCCCTGCTGGGGCTTCCCTGCAGGGGGGCCATATGCAGGAGCTGTGCCTTAGGGGAGATGAGAAGGCTCGTGCCCCCTCTAAGCCTCAGGGACTCTCCAGGGTAGTTCATGCCGGACAGACCCAGGTAGAAACTGCTTCATCCCTAAACCCAGCAGGAGGTGTAGAGAGGAGAGAGCCTGGCAGGTGCTTGGGGAGCTCCTGGGGATCCCTGTTTTTCTTACTGACCAAATACAGTGGAACCTCGGTTTTCAGACGTAATCCGTTCCGGAAGACCGTTCGACTTCTGAAACGTTCAAAAACTGAGGTGCAAAGGGTTGTCAGCAAATTCAACTGAGAAAATTGAAAAACACACAGTGGAAGCCGTTTGACTTCCAAGGTGCATTTGAAAATGGAAGCATTTACTTCCGGGTTTTCGGCGTTTGGGTTCCGAAATGTTCCGAGACGTTTGAGAACTCAGGTTCCACTGTATTCCTGTTTGTGAGTAAGAAGGAAATAAAATTGGAACAGAGGAGCAGCACAATGGATGGGATATTGTGCGTTTCCAGAGATGCCTCCTTAAAATAGTGCAGAGTGAGGTGTGGTTGAGGACCCAGAATCCTGGCCAAAAGTTGTGGTGGTACCAATCTGCACGGCGACAAGTGGAAGAAAACACAATGCACCTGTCCTTGAAGAAAATGACAAATCTGTGGTGGGGATTACCAAGGTAATGTGTTTGAATAAGTTCTACAGAGATGGAACTTCTTGCTTGTTTTAGCTGAAATATCTCATGACATCCAGTTCTGGCACTTTCTGAGTAACTGCCAAGACCAGAAAGTGATCAAACAGGACCGCAAAATGTTGGGGAAAGGATTTGGGTGATCATATTGATCCCATGAAATGGGAATGAATATGGAACAAGGTGACTATGAAATCAGCCTCAGCACAGATTCAGAACCAACTCTGAAAATAATATTTAGGTGGTGCTACACACCAGGGATTTTATTAACCCCAGTCTGTCCTCAAAATGCTGGTGCTTGAAAAAACATAAAACCACGCCTTTCCGCTTATGGTGGGAGTGTCACCCAGGCAGCTTTTGGGGAGACGGCGTTCCTGGAAATCAATTTAATTACAACACAATAATTGATACCAATTTCTTCATTAGCTTCACTGGGGCTGTGGGCTGAGCCAAGTGATGATGGCTTGTATAAAGTATTGATTCTATATTTACTGATAGCTGCCAGGAAGGTTATCACAAGAAAATGGAAATATTTAGAGGGATTTATGATATCATACAATATAATAAAAAGGATTTATGATATCACAAAACCTGGCCCATGGCTATTTCGGAAAAGTTAACTCAAAATTTAAGGTACTGTATGCTAGAGGACCAAAAAAAAAAAAAAAAAAAGAAGAAGAAGAAGAAGAAGAAGAAGAAGAAGAAGAAGAAGAAAGATTCATTGTCAACCACATGACATCAATTTATTTTCTAAATGAATGATGCTTAAAATGTTCAAATGCCTCCTGTGAAATATGCTGAGATTTGGAATTCCACCCCCTTCCAAAACACCAATAATAACGATTACATTTCCCAGGGATTGTGTATTTAACAACCAAATGACTCAGTTCAATTCAATTGTATTGTACTTTTTTCTAGTATGCTATTGAATAATATGTTCTTGCAAATATAAATAAACAAGAATAACAAGAATAAAAACAAACAAGTAATAGTACCACTCTATACTGCCTTGATCAGGTCCCATCTGGAGTTCTGTGTCCAGTTCTGGGCACCACAGTTTTAGGAGGGTATAGACAAGCTTGAACGTGTGCAGAGAAGGGCGATCAAGATGATCAAGGGTCTGGAAAGCAAACCTTTCGAGGAATGGCTAAGGAAGTTGGGGATGTCATAGGACAGCTGTCTTAAAATATTTGAAGGGCTGTCCCATGGAAGGCGGAGCAAGCTTGTGTTCTGCTGCTCCAGAGGGTAGGATCTGAACCAATGGACTCAAATGACAAGAGAGAAGATTCCAACTAAATAAACATTAGGAAGAACTTTCTGATTATAAGAGCTGTTCAACCTTGGAATGGACAAGCTGGGAAAGTGGTGGACTCTTATTCATTGGAGGTTTTTTAAAACAGAGGTTGGGTGGCCAGCAACCAGCGATTCTTTACCTGTGATCCCTTGAATTGCAAGGGGTTGGACTAGATGACCCTTGCAGTCCCTTTCCAACTCTATAAGGAACAAACAGGAACAAACAGGACCAGGCTGTTGCAGATGCCTTTCAAGTCCAGGAGCCAAGGCCAAGTGGCTGAGGGTGAGCAGGAACAAAAGCCTTGCAAGCTTCTGATCAAATGCGTGAAGCACAGAGGGTGGGCCTGGGCCCTGGAAGCAAGAACCCTGCTTTCACCCGGCTCTAAGAAACAGTCTCGGACTCCGAAAGGGCCTTCCCAGCCCCACTGAGCTCCTGTGCGTGGCTCCAAGGGGGCCTTGTTCCCCCAGGCGCTTGCATTTTCAAGCAGTGTAAAAATCTCTCTGCTGTGATTGCAGAGACAGGTTGGATCTTTCTCTCTCATCACTGCGAAGGGCTCCCTGCTGGGTGCAATCAGGAGCATCAGCCGGCAGCACCAGTCAGTCTGCAAGTCCTGGGATTCAGGAGGAGCCACTTGCCTCGCTGAGACTAAATTCAGACACAAGTTTGTTATCAACTGCAGGCGGCATCACAAACACGCCCCGTTTCAAAGCCTTTGCAAAGCATTGCTGAGGTTCTCATCTTGCTAACATAGCAGGGATTTTGCAGAGCCCCGGCAGAGAGGCATTAAAGTTTAAGCATCTAAAATGAGGTCCAGAGCTGGCCAATTCTCCGCTGGCATTATTATGAATGTGACAGTTTCCAGGGGCTTGTCTTTCTTGCAGCTTTTTCTCTCTGTGATTCCATTCCCACATTTGAAGAACACCTGCCTTCTTCAAATGGGTAGATGGCGGGCATAAGTTTTGAAAAAAAATGTGCTTAGGCCTTAATGTGTGCACAGACAATGATGATGTGTCCTCCACACTTTGATGTGATGTGCCAACATCCTCTTATGGAAAAGTTGTGTAAGATTCCCCCGCATGCCTCAGAAGGAATCACAATTTCTCATGATGCTTCACTGAAACTTGGCCAGCTCTGATAAGGGTGTGTGTGTAGCAAAGTACAGCAAAATCCATATTTTCACTTTGTATTCTTATAGATCTGGGGTAACAGAGTTTGGGGGCACAAGGGCACCCATAAAAACTTCTAGAGTTTGGGAACTCTAGAAATCAATACAGTGGTACCTTGGTTTAAGAACAGCCCTGTTTGCGAA